AGATTTATGTAAAGATGCTGTTTTATATTTACATCATTGTATGTAACTCTTATGTATGATATACTAGAATATGTCTACATGAGTAATGAAACCTATAGTAATACTTATTGAACTCAAGAAGGTCTATGCGCGATAATAATACTGTATTTGATCACTTAAGCCATTCTAGTTGAAAATTATGGTTCGGTTTTTTTGTTTTATATATCATTTATTTAATATAGTATAGATAATTCTATATTTGTGCTCATTTTCGATATAACACCTTTTGATATCTACTCATGATCATAGCGAACTCACCATTGATATTATCTTATAAAACCTCTAATCTGAAAGGTGTAATAGTGTCAAGTTGTGAGTGGGAGCTGGGTATGTACGGTAATTTTAGGTAAGAATTAAGAAATGTTAACATTCATGGATATATACTCGTATAATAAACCCTGTAGATTCGATGAAATACCTAATTTTAATAAAAAGAGTTTCCGAGCCGCAATAGTAAATACCCAGTATACATCAAATCCCCCATTTGTGGGAGACATTGAAACATATACAATGATACTAATATCTACGATATATAATAAGAAATATTGTAGATATACTCGTATTCCTGACATTACTGGTGTTATATCGGGTATTTACTATAGCGGTAGTTTGAAATTTGCTGTTATTAAATAATTCATGATTCTGATTCTATCTAAAATGATAACATGGTACTATCTTTCCCTTGGATTAACCTTCCCTAAGGATTATTTTTTGTTTTTGTTTTTTTTTTTTTTTTTTTTAATACAACTTTTGTGTGTTATAATTTCTCTCTCTCTAAGGTAGAAATGCAGTGACGAATAGTGGTTCTTCGTTTGGGCAGGAACTTCTAAGTGTTCGTGCAAATGACTCAACACTCTTCATGTATAGCTTATTTTGTTATAGACAAAGACGTCTATATTACTTAATTTTTTTTTATTTTTTAATATTGTAAAAAAAAAAAAAATTTCGAAATATATAAATATACTCTATATTTTATTTAATTTTAGGAATCATTAAAGAATGATATAAACTAAAACTTTTAAAAAAATATTTAACTTTTAAATAAATTTAGCCAAAGATATTAATATTTACTTTGCATCGTGGTATATTTTTGATATAACTTATTCACGGATAATCATAGAACTTGTGCTGCTATTTAAATAATCGATAGCTCTCGAATAACCAACGTTTATAAACAGTACGAATAAAATTCGTTGATTGTTGTTGCATCTATAATAATTGAAAACGCGGTTGCCGAATCTATGTGAAATAATAACGTTAAAGATATTATGCATTTTTATAATACTCACGCGTTTATTTTGTATAATCACACGTATTTTAGAAATCTAGATAAACAAGGAATAATAAAATATTATTATTTTTTTTTTTTTTTTTAAAAATAACAAAAATACATATATTTACAAATTAAAAAAAATATATTTTAAAAAAAAGCCAGATTTCCAACTCGAAGAAAATAGTTTATGATGCACATGCATGCTTACGATACTGAAAACTGTAAGGTGAGGATACTCCGTTTTCACTCGCTTTTCGATACAGGCTTTGATACAACGGGTGATCGCAATGTAATAATTTGCAAGATTTGCGCTGTCCGTGTATTCATTTACGGAATAAGACAGAACGCTAGGGCATGATCGCTGTATATAGCGATTCTATTGAGATATGTTCTACTAAAAATAGTAACAGCGTAATGTGAAAACAGCTGCGAGTCTTGTAGTATATTCGACTCACAACTCACGCGAGGAAACCTGCAAAACCACGAAATGGGACAGCCCGCTGGTACAGACGATCCTGCCAGATCAAGAAATCCCTGATCGCTATGATATATACCAAGTCTCGAATTTATATATTATGAAATATTGTTTTTTGTGTTCGTTGATAGACTTCTCTTTGGCTACTTCCTCCAAAAACTGACAATACGTGGAAGGAGCGTTTCGAGAAAGTAAACGGACGAAGTAGCGTTTTGACGAAGGAGGAAGGAACACACAGTCGCATAAAATCGACATTTTCCCATAGTAAATATATGATTTTTGGACGAAGGGACGCGAGGAAGGAACGAAGTGAAGTAGCGAAGTGTGAGTATGGGGCTTAACCGTCAGACGGTTAGTAGATTGTAACGATCACAATATCGTTTTATTTTACTAAATTATAACTTAGAAGTATACCTCATCAAAAATAATTTATTATTACCTTGAAAGAGTTTTAAGAGTATACTATATGTATAGTGACTCATTACTTATGTCAGTTAATTGGAGGAAAGGTTTAGTGGCAGTGATTTAATCAAAGACTCTTGTTTTTCTGGTAACCAGTTGGCGGATTACATACAGTGGAAGGGGATATACAACTAATCAGATCACTAATTTTGATAACATTACGAAGAATAATAAATAATTTTTTATAAAACTAAATGAGAACATCGTTTGTATACAGGGTGTAAAGCAAAGCGTGATTCAAGGAGGAAACCCTTTGAGGAAACCCCTATTTTTTCAAATCATGTTTTTGTTATAGTGATAATGACTTAACTTGAAAGAAAATTACACAGATATACCCAATCTATTTGCATCTTGCAATAAATATATTCCATAAGAGAACTCAATGATTCCTAATTACAATCACTCGGCTGTGGTGCGTATCAGAGAAAAGAGTTGCCTTGCTCATAATATGCCTCTGTATAACTATTGTTTATTTTTTTTAAAAATTTCGAATTAAATTTTGAGCGTAAAGTTTTTATGTTAGGTTAGGTTTATGACATAAATTTGGAATTGATTGACGTATTCAATAATTGTGTGTGTGCTCGGACCTTCCGTATCTCTGCACACGGATAAAATGACTAACTAACTTTAGATTTCTGTTAGATTGGCACCGTCAATTCTCGTATTTTTTACTTTTTGAATTGTATAGACTCTGGATTCACAGCGAAATATTATTTTGCACATATTGCTGAATCGCGATAGAACACATAGTCATACTGTCTAAGAACGCTTTTGAATAATCTTTCGCATATGGTTTAATTTGAAATTGTAACATGCGTTCATAACGACAATTTGACTCAAAATAACCAAGTGTGTGGTATCAATTTATTTGTAAAAAAAAATGCTTTTTCCAAATATGCTAATGAGCCATCTCGTTCCATTTGAAAAAATTGACGATATGATTAAAAATCTACATCTTTTAACCGGCCAGGACAGACACTAAAAACATTAGACGATCAAAAATCAACTTTTTCCTAAGGCTCTTGATTAAAACTTAGTGTTTTAATATACAGCCATGGCCCTCTAGATTGAAATTTAAAATTCAATTTTTTTTTGAGTGACTATGTCAAAAATTGATATATGATATGTCATTTGATTTAGAGTGTCATTTTCTATCGAATAAAGTAAAAAAATACCGAGGGTGACATAATAAAAAGTTGTAACAAAAAACAAAAACAAATGAATACGTCAATCAATTCCAATTTATGTCATATACTAACATACCAAATCCTGCTGTTTTATCTGAAAAAATAAAACAGTTATAGGGGGTGAGCCACTTTTGAGACGCACCCGGTATATAGGTTTGTCATAATTACTACAAATTTTTCACTTTGAATAAAAATATTAAGGAAGGAGCATATTATCAGCAAACCTTGGTTGAACGCGATGGGGGCTGAATATGGCTGACTTAAATTTTGCATGTTTTATTAGTGCCAGTTCTAATTTCATTTGAAATATCTAAAAATATAAAATAGGGTAGACGCAATAAATTGTTGGTTTTGTTTTACATTGCCAACAAATGTTATTGGGTATTATGGTTATACAATTTTTAAAAAAATATATATTTCTAATAAAAATAGATAAGTTATAACTATTTAATATCAATAATACCCTTATTATAAAGATAAAACCAGATAGGCTATTGCAACACAAGTCAAATTGACATATCCTAATTATTTTTAACTGTCATAGGTAGTAAATAAAAGCAAAAGTGCAAGATAAAATGTATAACTAGTTAATTCTAGACGAATCTCATAAATGATTAGTTTACTACACATAACGTGTATTATACCTATAAGTATACAGGGTGTTTCAAAAAACATGAGCTATTTCTCGTGGGGTGAAAAATTTAAAAAAAGGGGTTCTCATTTCTCATGTAAAAATAAGATTTATTTTTCATATCAACATAGGTCCGATTCTGCTTTGTTTCGTAGCTAAAGCTAGCTTTCGTAAGCCTTAATATTTTTTCGATTTATTATAATTTTCTTCCAAGTACTTTTAGTGTCTCGAATGAAATGTTGAGGGTAAAAGTTACTATAAATGCGACATATTTTAAAGCTTTAAAAGTGTCGACATATTCACCAGGGACTTGCATATGGGTTATCAGTGGAATATTTTTCTACGTACTGTACGCCACTGACTTTTTCCTCTGGTTAGCGAAATAGTGTAAGCAATTTAATGGCGATTAAAAGTTGTCTCTTGATATTTTGTCGATTTCGGCCTCCTGGATGAGATAAACGCAAATTCATTAATTTGCCTGGATCCAAGTCTAATAGCAACCTTTAAAAAATTAATATTAACTTGTGAAAGTTTTAAATAAGTACTCATTGATTCCTCATCAAAAAATATGAAAAAAAGTTCCTATAAACATGGGTATGGAAATGCATAGTTTTAGAGTTACAGGATGTTAAAATTTTCTTAAATTATGTTTTTTGTACCTAATTATCTAAACCTACCAAATACCATTATTTTTTTATTTGAAATTGCTATAAGTTGGACTAATAGAAATGATATTTAATGATAAATTAGGTAAAATATACGATTTATTAATTTTATTTTTATTTTATTAATTGTGATTAATAAAATTGTGTTTTTCTCATCAAGGAGGCCGAATTCTACAAAATATCAATTGATAACTTTTAATTGGCATAGAACGGACTACACAATTTTGATATGAAAAGAAAAAAGTCAGTAGAATATATATTTTTTTTTGAAAAATTTTCCAGCGATAACCCACATGCACGTCCCTGATGAATTTATTGACAATTTTTTAGCATTAAAATATGTAGCATTTGGGTATTACCAGCACTTGTATAACTTTTACCCTCAAAATTTCATTCGAATCACTAAAAGTATTCGAAAGAAAATTATAATAAATCGAAAGATTATTAAGACTTTAACACCCTGTAGCTAAGAAACATAACTGAATTGGACCTATGTTGTAGGTCCGAAACACCCTGTATGTAGTTACTTAACAATGAAAAGTTCTTCTCAGTTTCTCTTCATTATTTTGACTGAGATCTATTGCATGCTACACAACTTAACTATTTTAGTCTTTTTCTATGTCATTAATAATTTAAGTTCTGGCACAATATGCTTCTAGATTTACTATCTATGAATTAAACCATTTGTAGAATAAACAATCAATAACATAAAATAAGTTCAGAAAAGCCCAACAAATTTACAAAATTTCAAATCAAGCTCAAATATGTCAAAACCATGGGGGTCACGATTCCTAATCATGGTCCATCTATAATAACAATTTGAATTTGTTTTGAATCTTGGTTTTGTGTCAAATGTCGCAGACCTAATATATGAGTATATAAATAATATTAGACACCTTCCTTAGTATTTTTATTCAAAGATATTTTATGCTAATACTCACATTAAATATGCTGCATAGATCTTGGATCCTTAATAATAATTCAGTTTTATTTGAAATAAACAAATCGAGTTTAAGCAAACTAAACTTATGAAATGATATAGAACTATTTGGATCTAAAGCAAGCAGTTTAATTTTTTCCATTTTTTCCACTAATTTAGGCTCCAGTAAAATTGTAGGACAATTTAAAATAGCAGATTTTTGAATTCCGGAATTTTTGCATATTTCGTAATTTGTTAAGATAGTGCATAAATCGCCCGAAGAAAATTTTTTATTACTCGCAACAATTTCCAACGCCTTTATAGGCTTAATTTTTAAAAGTTCCACCAGTTTTGATTCAATCAGTTTCCTGTTTGCTTTTGGGTCATCTTGAGGATGTGCATCTGTGTTTATATTGCTGAATTCATAGTTGTAGTTTAAAATATTTCTTACAAACACTTGTTTGACTACATTATCACACCTATATTTTGGATGTAATAAAACTTGTTTAGTAACTTCCCACATTTTAATGACAGAAATAATACATATTTAAATTAAAAATTAGAATTCCATTTTCCATTCAAGTAGAAAATCAAGTAGAAAATAAACACAAAAAATCTTAGACAAGGAAAAAGAAAAGAGAGGTGACGGGTAACACGCATGGTAACACGCATATTCTCCCGTGATCGGTTAGTGAGGTCAAAATTCGATCGGCGGCCATATTTTGGTGACAAGATTTCGAGGTGACACCGAGCTGCACCGAGCGAATTTTTATGTTTTTTGCTCTGAATAAGAAGACTAGAATATACATATACAGTCCTTGACTGGGAGTAACATTTCACATTCACATGTTCACATGTAACATCTTCCGTAACAGGTCCGTAACGCAGCTAACACATCTATCACAAAATTATCGATAAAAAATAAAAATTAGGTTACCGAATTACGAGGCATAAGTTTATTACAGTTAACAGACGAACATTTAGTGGCTTAACATTACATTAACTCAGGGCTCAGGCAAATGCTTACTACTAGGAAATTTTAATCATTGTTTGTCATTGTTAGCTTTTATTATTTGAAGTTTTACCTAATCCGGCCCTGTCCAACTAGTAGATTTTACAGAAATACATCCGTGGAGTCTCCCCTCTCTTAATCCTCCGTGGTCCAAACAAGTAATTTGTCAATTGTGTCATTGTGTGTCAATTGTTTTCCTTCATTTTTAAAATTTATATCTGTTTATATTTGTATTTTTATTTGTATTTCTCAGAGTAAGTATACCTATTTATATGCCTATTTATACGTTTACAATTTAGATAAAAGCTTGATAACCTGTATAAACCAGCTGAAAATTGGTTCGTTAAAACTGCTTCAAATAAAATAAATGATCTCTATAATGAAAAATAGACCAAATCACAGAGGCATTTAGGAATTTATTTAACTTACTATAAATACCATTAATATAATTTCAGTTTATAAAATGGTGATGTGCTGGGCACCAGATTGCAAGCATTATAGCGTTAGGGAGACATGCAAATTTTTCAGATTCCCGAAGGATATAAAGAAAAGGAAGAAGTGGAAAAAACTTACAAGGTGGGTATGAGGTGATAAGTAGAGGTTAGAAATTTACACAGTAGAGACTAGAGACTCAATTAACCAGTGTAATTGTTGGTAGGCATTCGGATAATTGAATGTTTGAAGAAAAACTGTTTTTGGACATATTATTAGAGATGAGCAAAACTGCGATTCTCCAATCGCAATTGAAACTGCGATTGCGATTTTAAAATCGCTGCGACTGTAGATTAGATTATTATTTAGAGGTACTTTCTGCCTGTTCAACTGCGATCTTTTCAGATTCGTTGTGGTCCTCTTCTTATCCTTAGGATACATTCTCCAGTGCCTTATCCTTTTCACAAAGTTAAGCATCTTGGTTTAGCCACCTCCATGTAGCATCCTGGCAATGTGCCTGTCATTGGCCTATTACCGAATCGCACAGCTAGCTGTTTACATCCGACATAGAATGTGTTCTGACGTTTCTTCTTCAGATTGGCCGAACCTACACATAGCTCGTCTGTCAATCCTATCAACTTTAGATGCCTATTTAGCTTTCAATGCTCCCTGTTAGTAGACCTACTACAGCTTTGACTTTCTTTCTGTCCTTGCTTATTCGTCTACTGTGAATTTTGGCGAATGTTCTACAATGAACCTTTTCGCCTGTCTCTGCCCTGGTGAGTTTCTCCACCATTCTAGAGATTTGTTAGACACCCATCGTTCCGTGGCCATTCTCGTGACCGCCTTTGCAATGCCGCAGAGGGGTTCTGGGCCTATGAATGGCATTGATGAGCCTTGCTGGGCCCTTTCATCTGCCTTTTCGTTACCGCTGCGACTGTAACTTACGATTGGAATTTTAATATTTAAATATTGTGCTAGGGATATAATTGTCTGTATATGTACCTATAGCTTAACAGTTAAAAAAAGCTAACAAAATTCATTTGTTTATAGTTTTTTTAACATCTGACAATTTGGCTCAAAATACTAAATGTGTGGTACTAAATTATTTGTAAAAAAATGCAATGGGTCTGGTACCTTTTAGGTACATCAAAATTAAAAAAAAATTTTCTTTTTTTTTTTTTATTTTTGTTTTTTATGACTTTTTCTAAACTTACTTATACTTGCACTTATTTAAAAAAAAAAAAAAAAAAAAAAAAAAAAAAAAAAATGTTGAAACCAAAGCTATCAAAATTCAATCAAAGAAATCAATCTATCTTATAATTTATATACTTAAAATTAAAAAAAAAAATTTGTCAAAAAAAAATAATTATTAAAATTGTACAATTCTATTTACCATCACAGTCTATCTTGAATAAATATAGTGGGGTTCCCAACCGTCCCGTTTTGGCCGGGATTAACCACGAATCAGAAAGTTTGTCCCGGCGAAAATTTTATCTTGGCCGGGACCAAAAAAATCACATTTTTTTTTTTTTAATTTAATATTTGAATTCTAAATATTTAATGTTTTTTTCATATTATTAAAAAACTTAAAAACTAATAGTCCCGGAATCTCGTGCCGCATGCTCAAGTTTGGGAACCCATCTATAAATACGTTAAACTTATTGCAAACATATTAATTAATTTACATAAATATTTTTTTTTTTTTTTTTTTTTTTTATCCTTGTTTATATATTTCTTAAAGTTGTTCAACCTCTCGACAAAATGTGATGCCTCTGGTGAACAAATAGTGAAGCTTTAAAAATGAGCATAGTATATAGGCGAGTCAAAAATATCGTATTGCGGTATTTCCCAGAGTAATTAAAATATACTCGGCATTTTTCAACAATATCATAGGCTCAGCTGATTGAAGAAATTTAATACAAAACTATGTCTTTCGATGTTGATTTTCTATATTTTGCGATTTAAGGATTTCTAAACCGTCATAAAAAAGAAATATTTCAATATGTTTGGCATTAATGCCTAAGTTGTATTTGTAATATTAATATTTAAAAAAGGTACATACCACTTGACTCATTTCGATTTTGACACGAGGCTAATAAAATTTATTTCATTCTTAGATCCATTTTTTCTAAATTGACGTTATAATTTACGAAATTTTTTTTTTTTTTATTTTAATTTATTCTGATTATTTTTTCTCTTAATAAAAATAAAAATGCACTTCCTTCAAAATTATTATTTTGGACATGTTAATATAAACTATTATTACTTTAGATAACCATTTAAACTTATACCACGAAAAATCTTCTTAGCGTAAAAACAATGTCTCAGAGTCAAGTTATTTAACTTTTTACCATATGAAAAAAAAAACTGGCGTCCAGGTTGGCTGGGAAATGAACGATCGACGACATTTCCCATTATAAATTTACATATAAAATGACAGTAATTATCATTTCATAGCCATCCTGACGCCGTTATTTTCGATCAGAATTTTTTTTTTTTTAAAATAAACTTATTTTATGGTTTAACTCACAAAGCCCGTTTAAAACCATAAAACTTTTCGTAGTATCTGTTTATTGACGTGATTAATAACCAAATTACACTTATAATAATTTATCATGAACAAAACAGAAAACCAAGTCATGATATTTGCGCAGGTTGGTCGCTAAGTCACAGGTGATAAACGGCAGCATTGGTCGGCAAGCTCCACGCGCAAATTTCGAAATTTTAAAACAATGAACCATAATAAATGTGTATATGTGTATATCTTTTCAAATGTCAAACTAAATGATTTGACGTAAATTTGAGGTTATGTCTCATTATGTAGTTGTGTAGATTATGTTATGCCTTTAGTCCAATTCTTCCCTATTTATTGTTTTTATTGAGTGCAATTGAACAATATGGATATTTTTTGTAATGCAGTATACGTCACAGTGTGATATGCGCAACTAAACAAATTGGAGTCGCTATTCGTCATACACTGCTTTTCAAAGGTTTTTCTAGTACATGCAGTAATAAATCAAAACTTATTTACCTCCGTTGATTTAATGTAACTTGTCATTTTGATAATATATTTCACACTTTTATGCTTCGGCGAAAGCTCGGCGTAAAAGTGCTTACTTTATATTGCCAATCACGTCAAAAAGACCTTTATTCAATCATGTCGCAAAAAATTATACTTTTGTGACATTGAAACAGACAATAAATTTTGAAAACTAACTGAGTATATTTTTCTGCCACAAAAAATATATAACAGGAATTAAATATAATGAATGAATTCATTATTGAAATATCTGCTACTGGGTAAACAAACATTGCAACTTTACCAATAATACTCCATTTCAATAAGTTATTCTTCCAAAATAAATTAATTATTTTTTAAAATCATTGCAGATATTTCACCCTCTATTTGGACTAGTTTCATTGATTAACTAAGATAGACTTACATTTTTTAAATCATTTAATCAGATTTTTTTTTCGTATATTTCATACGTAAAAAAAACCAAATATATGATACGCACTTTTAAACGAAGCTTGAAGAAGATTATAAGTACTATCACACTATTAAAAGAAACGACCTACAAATTATTAGGAGAAAAACAAAAAAAAATACCCAAATACCTTCACCTTCTTACTAACTACAAATAATGAATATAATTCCTTCACTAAAACATCTAACAAACTACTTCCACTTAAAAAATTATCAAACTATTAATAACTGTGATTTTATTACAAATATTTAAAAAAAAATTAACCAAATTACCCTTTCACCTACTAAAAAATGTGATTTTGAGTCAGAAATCAATAAATAATAAGTTATCAAACATTAAATCTCTGTTGTTATATAATAAGCATTTATAAAAAATGGAAATATCATTTAAGCGTACTTTTATCACACTGTCTAATATACAAACAAAAATTCCAGTTTTTTTAGCGTATTTTACATGTATTAATCAATTCATCAGTTTAATTAAGTTAATTAATAATAAAAAAAAAAAAAAAAAAAAAAAAAAAAAAACAGTTTTTTATTTTTTAATTGAAGATAACAATTATATCCACAATATTAGTATCTGTTACTCTTAAAAATTTAGGAATCTTTTAAAAATATCTAAAATTGCATATTCCATGGTATAGTTATAAAAATTCTAAAATTACAAGAACATTTTTACGCGAACTAAAAGATAGTAAACATGGTATATTAATTTGATAGGACAATTAAAATTGTGCATCTGTTCTCGTAAAATATACAGCGTGTCCCCCTTAAAAAAATAAAACCAAGTATCCGTTTAAGGCTAATTAATATTTAAAATAATTTAACACTTACTAGGTGCTAAAATCATAAAATAATTTTTATTACAAAAACTTGAAATTAGTTAAGTAAATTAGTAAGTAAGATTTAATAAATATTTATAAAAAAAAAAAAATGATATATTTTTTATTTATTTATTAATATCTCTGAAACTATCAAAATATATTTACTCATATCGTAGGATTATGATTATGCAAACTGAAAGGAAGGCATAAATGCAATAATATACTGGGTGTTCGATTCAGAAAAAAATCATCACGATCTACTCACTTTTTTGAGCTATCCTATAGAAGTTAAAATATTTTCCTGAAATACATCCTCGTACATACATACTTTAGGTTTGCACATAAACAGAATTCCTTAGTTTTTTAGATTTAGACTGTACAGATGCCCGACGCCACTATTGCCGAACCCTTGTATTAAGTTATTGATGGCGGTTGAGTAGTCTTGATGATCGCGAATCCGTATAACTGAAGATCGGATAATCGATTTTGGTTAACTGTGATCTTTTTGTAGGCGCGACAGTGAGCCTGGTCCCAGTGCATGTTTATGCAGTTGTCACTTTCGTGATGGGAAGAAGGAGAATGGACCAGAATTGTTCTCACATAACAGAACAAAAAAATTTACTTGGACTGATCCAGAAAAACGAACTCGCAAGCGGAAATGTGTTTCAGAAGAAGTTTTGGATTTAGACTCAGTTCAATCTCATAACATTCAGAATTACACTGATATTTTTAAGAACATAATAAAACACGAGATTAATAATAATAATTATTAACTTAAAAAAACATTTTTTATAAATAATAATTTATGAGATACCATTATAGATTTTTTG